TCAAATTACAAGTATTAAAAAATGATCTGCAAATGATTTGCATAAAATCAGCCAATCAAACGAATTTCTGCCTATGAGGTTGGACAGCCTTCTATGTCTGATGAATTTTACCGGACATCTCAGTTTCTACGCCAATCTTGTCAAACTAGATTTTTGCATCAACCTCAAGTTTCTACGCCAATCTTGCCAACTTGATTTCTGCGCCACAGGACATATAAATTTATCCGGTGTCCATTGATCTATTAAGGGTTTCCTTATGTCGACCCTCTGCATAGGTCCGGAACCAATCAAATTGTAAGATCCTTGTATAACAACAACAATGGCGAAAACCCAAGATGTCGTAGCTAACCCAAAATTTTACTATGACAACTACCTTCCGGCCTCTAAGTAAAAATTCTCAGAGCGAAATTTTAATTATAGGACACGCTCTTTTATATCAAAAATCATAAAATTTCTAATGTTATGGCAGATCGGAGCGGAGGTCCGATTTTGCTTGACATAAGGGAATTCATCTATTAACACACATAGAGTAAAAATTAGCAGTATATTACTGAGGTTTCTTATTTCAACAAATTACAGATAATTTTAGAATTTAAATTTCATTGGACTAAATTATTGTAACGAATTAAAATTTAAATATTAACATTGAAACAATTTCAACGTAACATTTTTATAATCATGTTTAAGAATAGATCTATGATAAAGTAATAGAAGTAAAGCAATTCGCTCTACGTAGAAATTTAAAAACATGCAAGCAATTCTTTACTATATATATAATATACAAATTACCAAATTAGTTCAACGTAAATCTTCTACGTACGTATTTTTTAACCTTGCGTAAATTTCAGTTTGACATATACATGCTTTATACTTATATTTATATATTATATATATTAATACATACATATTATGTATGTATTAGCATATATACAGTATAATATATAAATATAAGTATAAAGCATGTATATGTCAAACTGAAATTTACGCAAGGTTAAAAAATACGTACGTACGTATAAGATTTGCGTTGAACCAATTTGGTAATTTATATAAGTGATGCTAAGAAAAATCAAACACTCTGGCTTTTAAATTATAACTTTCCGGACTCAATTCTTCAGACTTTTTAGGTTTAAAAGCCGAAGCTGAAGTCTGGTTTTTTTGGCGTCACTTATGCTAGATTATACATGCGACCGAAATACTTCGGCTTGTGTTGAAGCTTATATTGTAACTAGTTTTGAAGAGGCTGAAATAGTTCAGACACATGCATGTGTTGTATGGTTAAAATAGAAAATAGTATAATGCTCTAAATGCGATAATAATTTAATGAATTTCTTGTCATTATATGAATGCCAAATTTTGCAACATACTACTTTTGATTGTTAAAATATTATATGCAGAATTTCAAGTACTTAATCGATAACAAATATGAAGTACGTGGTGCAATATTAATGGGGAAAAAAATTAGAATAATTTTTCATAGTTTTGTGGATCAATTGGTGCTTTGTTTTCTTATTCGATGTCAAAATTTCAATATCTTGGCATGAAAAGCTTGTACGAATACATGAATATTTCAATAGCGATAGTTGTTTAATTCGGCACGAAATACACTAAACTGTTTTTATGAGTTGAATTATTATTACATTAATGGTATATATCGCCAATTTTAAGTCTACGCCTCTTCTAATCTGACGCACGACATATATGTGATAAATAATCTGATCACTATCCTGATTCAAAAAAAAAAGAAAAGCCTTAAATTTTAATATATAGTTTTGATTTACTGAACACTCCAGTGCTGCATGTGCTTTCGATCTTGTTTACTGCACTGTTTCACCTTGTTCCGAACAGTACTTGAGGCGCAGGGGAGGATGTTAGCCTCTTTTGATTAGTAAATCATTATGATCAGTTACAGGTTTTCGATATATTTGTAACGTCGAAGAAAACCAGGCTTCGGGTTTGAAGTTTATTATTTATTGTTTACCACCTTCATATAACACGTAATTAAATTTCTTACGCATTATATCGATGTTTTTTGATGACTAGTAAATAGGAGTTTACTAATTTTCTGATTGGTTCTACTAATTATTTACATCTATGTTATTGCAATTGGGGAGAAATTAGTAAACTCGTAAAGAGTATAGAGCAGGCGTATTTACGTCACTAGTTACGGTTCAATTGTTGCATTTTATTTTACAAACCGATTTTTTATATAGAACGTGACTAGTGATGTCACAAGTCTGCATCTATAGTAAATAGCAAGCCCAAAGTCTGATTTTCATAGAGATTATTATAAAATTTTTGATAAGCATTTGATTGAATTTGTCACAACTGACTCGTTTTACAGTATTGACTTAACTAGATTAAAGCCAGTTTTGGTGATCTAAATGAATTTTGTATCTTGTTTAAAAAATATAAAAATGCTTATTTAAATTCTCAATAAAAAGATTGTCTAACTCTTCGTTAATGACTATGGCAGCAGCACGGTTCAGTAATAGTCGGTGTATGATAAAAATATATATCAGTTTCTTAATAATCATATTCTTCTATTTAAGTTTCTGGCTCCGACTATTGTTTAATTATTCCGAAGATTTAAATTTACAAAAAAATTATAGCGATAGCGATAGTTGCTCTAATTGCACACTTGGCTTTGACCATATTTATGTTGTCCATCTTGACTATCGAACGGATAGACGTGAAAGATTAGATGAAATAGCATCATATCTTGGATTAAATTTCAATTATTTTTCTGCCTTTTCTAAACACGATGAACACATTCTCAGCAAGTATGGTTCCGCAGATATGAGCCCTCCTCAAAAGGCTTGTTATCTAAGTCATTATTCTATCTATAAACTGATTGTTGATAAGGGATATAATAGCGTCTTAATTTTAGAAGATGATGCTGATTTTGAACTTAACATTACTGCTATTATGACTGATATTCATCGTGACTTACCCGATTCTTGGGAAACGTTATACGTAGGCCATTGCTATGAATATATCGGTGAACAAGTCGGAAAAAATTCTTCTGTCCATAGATTATATAAGTCTGTGTTTCCAATGTGCACGCATGCTTATGCTGTTTCGTATTCTGGCGCTCGCAAGCTAGTAGAACTACTTGATCCTATGACTCCACGTGGAACGGTTGATTATTCTCTTGCGGTAGTAATTAGTGAAGGGAACATCTCTTCATATAGTGTTCATCCACAACCTATTGTGCAATGGAAAGCTGATGACAATCCAGCCGATATCCCTGATTCTCTTCGACTAGAATTTAGTTTATTGAATTCAACTTTACGCTTTCTTGGGCATAATTAATACGTAGCACTTAATATAAATACATAATGTACATATATATCTCTATTTTTTTTGGTTCTTTTTTTTTTTTTTTTTTTTGCGGATTTCTATTTTGACTCGGGTTAAAATAACTTGACATATGATTTGAATGTGTTGAAATTATTAACTTAAAATTATCATTTAAAACTTATACGTATTGTAATTAGTAATTAGAAATGTAATCTGCTATTGGCAAATACATTATTTGTACAGATTAAATATAACTAGATTATTGAACTATAGTTTACTAGTTTTTACATCGTTATATCAATAGAATGATGCTAATAAAATTTGCAAAATTGTAAACCGATTCAATCTTCAAAATTGTATAGTGGAATTTTATCTAACTGCGAAGTCATACGTATGGTGGTCCAAAATAGAATTACCCAATTTATTATATTTAAATTGCGTGTCAATGACTGTTACAAGACTAAAATTCTTTTGGTGATAATACTGAAAAAAACGCGTGTCTAAATTTGTACTTTGGTGCAACGAAAACATCCACGTTTGTACAGTAGTCACTGGTAAGAACAATATTTTTTTGAATACTAATTACTCTATCTTTTTTAAACTTAGTTACTGTAGTTCTATTTTGACGCCTTTCCTAATGAATAAACGTTTTTTTTTGAAATTATACGTGTATAAGCTTATTTCTCCCTTGAAGACCTTTTGTTATATATTTTTTATTTATTTATGCATCGTCATTTGAAAATGTCTTTCTGTCGTTTCTATTTCTTCAAATATAGTACATATATCCAATGTCGTTCAGACGTCAGTTAATTTATTGGTTTGGATACGAAGTACGATTGGTGGATGTTGTTTTCTTGGAGTTATCCACTTTGATCCTGTGAAGAGACCGAACTATCCTGGTTTCTGTCGGGTGCTATTAACCTATTTTTATATATTGGCTGAGTGTTGCAAAAAAAACAAAAAAAAAACCTTGAAAAATCAATTTTTATATTATAAATAAATTTTATAGCAAGATTTTATTAATGCAACTCTGTAGCTTAAGTAAAAAATGATCTTGATCTTTTCTGAATTGATTTATATAAAAGAAAGTTTTTTGAAAAATTTGTCAAATTTGCCCTCTTTTTGCAGCACCAAGCCCGTATATCTGATATTATTTTCGTTATATATAATCGATAATGGAAGAAGTCTTTAACCCCAGAGACGTGAAACTTTGATGGTTTTTGTAGGGTTCTTGTTGCAGGGGTAACGGGGTGGCAGTGCCTGGCCAAGACCGGTCTGAAATTGTACCTATGGTCGAGGTTGGGCCTGTAGAATCCGAATGGCAAAACTTTTGTCTCTCTCCCAATGTAGGAACAACATTTTTTTTGTTTTTATCCTTTTTTTTTTCTCATTTCATAAAGTTTTCTTCGGTTATCTCTTATAAATAACGTCGACATGTGTTTCCTTTACTTTTATCATACCTCTCCGTTAGTATCTAACTCTAGGTCGAAATGAGTTTTTCTTGAATGGTTTATTCATCATGTTTATATCATTATTGGATACAGCTTTGGGTTGTTATAAACCTAGTCGTAGGATACACCTTTATAGGATAAGTAAGCTAAGCAATTTCTTTATCAGTATCCTTAACTGTTATGTCGTTATTAAGAAAATAATATAAGTAGTCCCGAATTAGCGTCCATGGGCGTTTCAAATTAACTACCATCCTCCTTATTCTTTATATAAAAAAAAAAAAAAAAAAAGTGCTCCGGAACTAGGTTTAATATTAATTAAACTTTTTTCGGGCTTTAATAAAAGTTGTTCTTCAGAGGTTTATTGAGTACTAAACCGGTTTCGGAGCACTATTAAACCTTGTCATGAATTTATTTATATATGTTTAATTTGAAATCAACCTTATTTCGAAATATCGCAGATGGGCGTACTCTAAATAACGCGCAGGTGGGCGTTATTTCGCGTTTATACGGTAGATGTAATTTGTGATTCAAATGAATAAAATGGTCATATTTTGTGAAACTTATACATAAAGGGAATAATTAAAATGAATCTCGCGAAATATAATAAAGCTGAAACGACTACCATATTGTAATCACAGGACTCACGGAACTCAAAAAAAAAAAAAAAAACTACAAAGATCGTTAATCCAACTAAATCGAAAAGAACGATAACATAACCAGATTAAAAACAATAAACGCGCGTAAATTCAAAAATTCAGTTTAATTACGATGTTTTTTAAGTGTTGAACAAAAAAATGATAAATAAATAAAATAAAAATAAAGTCGCTTCAAGTTAAAATTACAAAACTTAATTATAATAGTTGAATAAAATTACAATTATATTAAAAAATAAAAATAAATAAATACCGTAAAACGCCGTATAAGGTACCCGGGTATCTTACAATTCACATGATAAAAATTTGATTTGTACCCCCCGGGT